TCAGGATCAAATGGGGAAGTTGAAATGAATACAGAACAGGTGCTTTTCCTGTAAGGGGTTGAGTCAAGGACTCTTCAAGGGGATTGCTACCTATTTAGAATATCAATCCCTGATGTCCATCCCTGGGGAGGTATGTGGGTGTATTTGTTTAATCTTTTGTTTTTAGGTCTGGCCCACATCAAATAAGAATCTTATCTTGTCTTTCATGTTGGCTCCTTCAAGGGCCTGGCCCTGTCTGACTGCCTATAATATTTCTATCTAACTCAGCTGCCTATAACATACCCCCCCCCCCCCCCCGAAGAAGTAACCCAAACTGCCATGAGGGAGTAACGGCAGGTGATGACTGCTCTGGCTTCTTCAGGCAGAAAGGGGTCATAGTTGTTGATTGGCAGTCAGAGATACTCTCCAGAGGGTCTGTCTAAAGGCCCTCAATAGGCACCAGGCATTTTCATCTTGGGTAGGTGTACAGTTTTAATCTGGAGGAGACAAAGCCAAAGAAGCAATTAAGTACGGATGGGCCAAATAATAAGATCAACAGGATTATTATGAATGTAGTGAACAAAGATTTCCACCAAGAGGAGCTGGTAATAGACTCCCATGCCCTTTACTCATGATATGGCTTTTGGGATGTTCATGAACTGCCTGGAGGTTTGTTTTCTTCCATGGTAAAATGATAGGGTCAAAGCGAATAGTTCTTTGTGATTCCCATTACACATAGATGTAAATTGTGAGAGACTGGATAACTTACACAGTGTGAAAAGCTGACTAACAGAAGAACACATGATTAGAAAGGCCCACAGCAACTCCAGTGTCCCCTTGTACCTAAGGCAAAGCTTAGAACATGGACAAGCACGTGGAGTTGCCGTAAGGGCAGGAGAAGCTGGAATAGCAAGGGAAAGTGTAAATAAGAAAGAGTAAATCAGTGGTCATCAAAGTACCCCACGTGCTCACATTTTTAAAAACCAAATGCCCTTTCAAGACAGTGCTATGCTCTCCCAGAGGCCTGAGAAGAATCTCACTGAGGAGAATGTTCCAAAGTGCCAGTTTCATTGTCATGAACCTCTAGTTTTTCTGAAGTTTGTTTGATACAGTGTTGTCTTTGGCCAGAAAATACCAACAGGCAGGCCCAGAGACAGTGTAAGAGGGTGCAGCATTGAGCATGCATAAAGGGAGCTGGGAGAAATGGGCCATTAATCCAGGAGACCCACCACACTGGATGTCCCAGTGTCTCAGTGTCTATTTGTGAAGAATACAAAAGGGGGTAGAGTCTAGGGCAGTGATGGTGAACCTTTTAGAGATGAGTGCCCAAACCGCAACTCAAAGCCCATTTATTTATCACAAAGTGCCAATGCTGCAATTCAACCTGATACTGAGACTTTCATTTAGAAAGCGCAACTCATACATTAACATCTTTTGTCTTAAAAGTTCAACAGTAGCATGCTGGTCTAGGTCAAGGTTCTAACGCTCACACTGGCATTTTTGAGTGAGTCAGGTGGTTCTTTGTTATGTGGGTTGCACCGTGCATCTATGGCTCCTTCCCACCAGATGCTGGCAACATCCTCCCAGCTGTGATCATCAGAGATTCTAGACGTTGCCAAGTATACCCTGAGGGGTAAAATCACGCTGTGGATCACTTGTCTAAGTGAAGACATGATGTCTGATTTTGTAACTTAACTAAATTAAGCAGGTATATTAATCAGGATTTTCCTTTTACTTCTGCAACTCTGATCATGATTAGGCAGTAAAGTATGCCTTGTAGCAAGTGACACTGGAGAAAGAAAGACCTGCGAAATTGCTTTCAGCCCGGAGATGGGCTTCGGCAGAGACAAGGGGACTACAGAGCAGTGGAAAGAGGCAATATATGTCTGAGGGATGTAATCAGTAGGTCTTTCCGATGGAGTGGATTTGGGAGTGAGAGAGACAAAAATGTTGAGGGTGATCCCCGTGTGTAATATAGGAGTTCAGGAAGAAGTTGGGACTTGATCTAGGGGCCCTGAGCCTGCCTGAGGCAGGGGGGTGGAACTGGACTGATTTCAGGAGGAAGTGAGGCAAGGCACTGACATGGAAGATGGGACCCCCTTGTTAACACTGACCTCAGGGTGCAGGACAGGTATTTTTAGTTCCTTATGTTTGATATGTGTTTTTTTTAAAATAGTGAACCTCTTACTTCTTTTCTGCCTATTGAAATCATTCATTTTAAAAAATATAATTTTCTTGTAAAATTTCACACTATATTCTCAGGGTCATTTTTATGATTCAATAAAAAATTAGTATTTAGGTGCGCTCTTTATTCCAACCTCTGATTTCTTTGGGGCTTGATTATGTCTTACTTGTTTTTGGAGTCCCTTTCAACTCTTCAGCACTTAGATGATGTGGTTATCTGTGTCTTTTATAACTGTGCATAATAATATTTTTAGTGTTTGTTTTCCTATAGGGAGATTAACAGTCACCTCCCTAGTTTGCTTATTAGCGTTCTGTCTTTGTATAGTATTTATTACAGATTCCCAATTCACAGTTGTTTGTCATATGTCTTGTCGATCTTTCCCATTTGAATCTTTGAGGAATAGCAGTTGAATACATACAAGTTGCATCCTTATGTTTGCTGTCCTCAGTCAGGGTGAATTTTATTAAATCATTTGAATGAATTAATCAATCAATTGCATATTGATTTAATGCACTGATTTAAGTATGAAGGTAAGGTTTGAAATATGCATAAAGAATATGTATATCTGAAGGGAGTTAACACTTTTCTCCTGTGTATTTTGGACAGATGTCTTACCAGACTATTCTACTGAGGTAGGACTGCATTTACACTTTGGGCTGTGGATTTTGTCTTGGTTTTAACTTTATATTGAGCCAGTCCTCTGACATCTAGAAGTTTTGCCACAAGGGGCTCTGCAACTGCAGGTTGGAAATATTCAGCCAACAAAATTACATTCACATTGTACATGTATGGGCATTTTTCATCATTCTTCTTTAAAAATATATAGCAACTATTTATATACTACATACATTACATTGGGCATTGATGGTAATTAGAGATTATTTAACATAGATGGGCAGATGTGTAAAAATTATATGCAAATATTATATCAGTTTCTATAAGAGAGTTGAGTACACATCTGCAGATTTCTGTGAGAGGTCCTGAAACCAATTTTCTGCAGATACTGTGGGAGATATGTGTGCATACATACCATTTATACAAATATAACTAAAAGGTATATAATTTTTATATAAAGTATAATTATATATGCATGTGTAATTATTTGGTTCCCACTAAATCCATCGGTGTTCATACAAAAAATAATTGGATAGCTTTATAACTCTTGGACACGTATTTTCTGTTATAGAAACATCTGATGGGATGAAGGCATTGATAAACTAAATAAGGAAAAGGCTAACAATGCATTAATCAAATTCTTTGAAAGTTTTTAAGTTTTTAAAGGGCAGCAATACCAAAGAAGAAAACACAATATCCACATTTCTATATTTCTGATAGACACAGTGAGAGAAGTAATCACAGATGTATCAGTATTCAATTTTTCAGGATCTGTAAAGACAAAACCAAACTAAACTAAACTAAACCAAACCAAACCAAACCAAACCAAACCAAAGCAAACCAAACCAAATATAGTAAGTAATAATTAAAAGTATAGACGCTCTTCCCCCTTTAGCTGCTTTTGAACAGTCACATACTGGCTAGGACATTTAAAACTGGCCATTGGTGTTAAGTGGAGTTTGTTGTTGTTTGGAGACAGGATCTCACTGTGTAGCCCAGGCTGGTCTTGAACTTGTGGTGATCCTGAGCATTGGGATTACAAGTGTGTGCCACCATACCTATCTTAAGTGGACTTTAAAGACTGGTTTGCCACTTAAGACTTTATGATGTTTGACAGTAACATAAATTCTCAGAGCTTCAGTTTTCTTAATAAAAATGGACTCAGTGACATCCACTTTTCAAGATTCTTACAAGTATGAAAATAGATTCAATACAAGGTGCATGTAGTGCAAGAAGAATATCTGAATTATTTTAAGTGTTTAACAATTACCATCTATCATTGTGATTTTTATACTATATAATCTGGATAATTTTTTGCACTTGTATTCAGAATAAGAGACCCTATATTAGGAAATAGGGATAACATATTATATTGCTTGTAATCTTCAATATTATTTCTGAAGAATCATGTTAGAGCATAATGTGTGTGTGTGTGCATACACGTGGGTGCATGTATGTGTGTGTGTGTGTGTGTGTGTGTGTTATAGAAAGAGAATTCTTGTATGGATTGTGATTGTGCCTATTTTTCTGTTTCCCAGGATAAAGATAATATTTCCTGAAATTTTTCATCCATTTGTTTGTTTTATTAAAGTTGGTAGATACTGAAAAAATGAGAGGAACATTTCTCTTGTGAAAAATGTACACTGTAGAATTTAAGAACTTTGAAGTCAAAATTCAGTTTAATATATGAAAACTCTAATTAAAGGAAGCTTTTCAGAAAAACATTTTAAGATTGGGAACTAAAGATTAAAACACATACATATTATACACATCTGGTGAACATTTTAATTGTCTTTTTTTTTTTTTTAGGTAGCAGGAATTGAATTCAGCACCTCATGCTTGCTAGGCAGGCGCTGTGCCACTGAACTATATCCTTGGTCCCCGTCTGGTTTTTTTGGTAAGAATTTCTCAGCATTAGATTTATAACCTAACTACTTAAAGAGATGAAATTTAGTTCTTCAAATAAAGGGGGACTATGCATTTCTAATCTGTATGGCAGATTTACAAGCTATTTGTACATCTTTCTTTTTGACAGTGCCAAAAAAATTGCTTGTCTTATTAGATACATCTCAGATTTACTTATCTAGCTGGAAAGTATTCTGGAAAGCATTTTTAAACCTTTATTAATTAATTTATTTTTGTGGTTTGGTATACTTTATTTTTATTTTTAAAATTTTTTTTAGTTTTTTTCTGGTACTGGGAATCAAACTCATGACCTTTCTCTTGCTAAGCAGGTGCTATGCCGTTGAGCTAAATCACCAGTTCCTGGTTTGGTGTACTTTAATCTCAGTTGTAGAATTTACTACCGCTCTTCCAGCTGTGCAGCTGGAGTGGCGGCCCCTGAGGCTGGGGTGATGGCTGCTCCTGTGACTGTCATGGCGGCCCCTGAGGCTGGGGTGGTGGCTGCTCCTGTGACTGTCATGGCGGCCCCTGAGGCTGGGGTGGTGGTTGCTCCTGTGACTGTCATGGCGACCCCTGTGGCTGGGGTGGTGGCTCCTGTGACTGTCATGGCGGCCCCTGTGGCTGCTCCTGTGACTGTCATGGCGGCCCCTGAGGCTGGGGTGGTGGCTGCTCCTGTGACTGTCATGGCGACCCCTGTGGCTGGGGTGGTGGCTGCTCCTGTGACTGCAGTGGCGGCCCCTGTGGCTGGGGTGGTGGCTGCTCCTGTGACTGTCATGGCGACCCCTGTGGCTGGGGTGATGTCTGCTCCTGTGACTGCAGTGGCGGCCCCTGTGGTTGGGGTGGCTGCCTCTGTGACTGGGGTGGCAGCCCCTGTGGCCGGGGTGGCGGCCCCTGTGCCCGTCAAGGTTTTAGCCCCCGTGGCCAGGGTGGTGGCTGCCCCTGTGACTGGGGTGGTGACCTCTGTGACTGGAGTGCTGGTCTCTGTGGCTGGGGTAGTGGCCGCCCCTGTAGCACTGGCTGTGGGCTCAGGTTGGAGGGTGCTGGAAGGCGCAGCGCTGGGCATCACACCTGTGGATTTGCTGCCAGCAGCAGTGGCAGTGGCCACGGTGGCAGCTGTGGGAGTGGGCGCAGAAGGGGCCGGCTGTGCTTGGGCACCAGCGTGAACTGCAGCGCTGGGGTACGGCAGGAATCCGGATGGCAGAGACTGCGGGAGCAGAGGGCGGCGGGGGCGGAGCGGGCGAGGAGGTGGCAGAGGCTGTAGGGGTCTGGGGATATTAGAACCATGGAAACCGTGCGGAACAAGATGACCCCGGGGACCACGAGGAAGTATAAGAGGCCCCTGAAATTTTGTTGGCTGTCTGCTGCTTTGCTGGTGTAGAACATCTCTTAGCTGTCCAGGACTTCTTTGTTTAAGAACTTTAAAACTATGATGAGGCTTCAGAGAGAGAATATAAAAACAATTACTTTCGCACAGATAGAATGCATAAACTGCATCTAAACTTTAAATGGGTATAGCATTATCATTTAAATTTATACAATCATTCTAACTTTATTCCATAGGTAATGTGGTAGAATAATGTGCATACCTCACACAGAAGTTTGAATTTTGATGGTTGGTGAAATTTCAAGAAAGTAAGTATATTTTTACTGTTTTCAGAACTTAGTAGTGTTATTTAAAATGTGCTCAACATGTCATCTATGATAAATGCTCTGTTGAAAAGTTTTGGTGATCTGATAACTATGCACAGGTTTGGGGAAATATATGACATAGGTCTTTTCTGCAGGACTTACTTGCTAATGCAAATATATTTAGCTTACCCTATGCAATATTCCCCAAATTTATTTCACCATGGAAATTTCCTGTCTATAGGCTTTGTGAAGCTTCATTGCAGCAATGGCGGTGGACACTTTTTGATTTAATTGCTTTCAGTTAGACAGACTTTAGCCTGATATTCACGTAGGATCTCCCATGAGACCCTACTCTCTCATTTTTATCTTTACCAGCAGATGCTAATATTTGAGGTTAAATATGACACTCTAGGTGCCTCTCCACAAAGCATGAGTTCCTGTCTCCTTCTGTGGCATATATCTTGCTCATACCAGTATCTTTCAGACTAGGTTTGGGGTACTGGGGGAAGAGAGTTCCAAACCCCTGGGTCTATCTGGTGCTCCATGTCTTGTGATGCTGATGACACTGATGCTGTGGTCTTCACTGAATAGGAGAGCTCACAGCCCAGGAAGACTTCCCTGAAGACCTAGTGGTCATTTTCAATACACTTTACTAAAGAACTGCTCTAGCATTCTATTTTGTTTTCTGTAGCCTGGACTGCCTTCGAGATTCCTAATAATATGTATATGTGAGATCCCAAATATGTTTCCCAACACACTTATCTTTGAGTGAACAAAAGGAAACATGGCATTAGTGATATCAGGCAAAGCCTGGGGAGTGAGAGCAGTCATACTCCCCAGCTGCTCCCCTCCTACTACAAATGCCAGTGTTCAGGTACTCATGGTAGGAAAGGTGACCCCAGTGAAGCCATGGGATGCCTGAGGTTGGGACAGAGCAAACATGCACAGATTGGTGGACATGTTGTTGGAGGAGGCTTTTTGTTAGGCTGGTGACATTGCTAGAAAGACACCTGCCCTTAGCCACAGTATTTATTACTGGATAAGTAAAGTGTGTGTGTGTGTGTGTGTGTGTGTGTGTGTGTGTGTGTGTGTGTGTGATGCTGGGAACCAAACACTGGGCTCATGTATGCTAGGGAGTGTGTCTGTCCCTGAGCCACGCCTCTGAGGCCCAGGGCTTTCTGATCCTTTCACAGGATTCATTCACTCTGACAATTATAAGATGGTGGTGTTGAAGAAATGGAGGGGGTAAAAAACAAGGTAGAGAAGAAGTAAGATGCCAAAAGCATTCTAAACTTTCAAGATAAGTTTGGAATTATGTTTGTCTAAATAGTATTGCAATTTGGGTCATTAAACCTGGGTATGTTGGTTTCTCAGTGTTAGCAGCAGAATGATGTTTTTGGCTGTAAGGATTCATTTACAGTAGTTGTCTAGCGCGGTGAAAAGGGAGAGCAGGGCTGTAACAGGACACCTATTTCAGGAAACACAGCCTCACGCCTACCCCACTTCCATTCTGACAAGGGTGAAGATTATGAAAATCAGAAACGACCAAGAGTGACCAGGGATTTGTAATTTTGAAAAATTCAGATGATTTTGAGCTTTTATTCCTTTTTCAGTGAACACCATTGCTTTTAACAAAAGAAGCTAGTTTTTGCATTGTGTGGGTTCTTAAGAAATATTCCTTATTAAAAAAAAACTTTAATGTTTCTAAAAGCACAACCATGCACTGAAAAAAGAAGTATAGGTCGGTATTGGCACGGAAGGCTTGGTAACTGTCCTCCTGCCTAAGTGTCCCCCTCCTGTGCGGGTTCACATGTGCTTAATAGGCAACCATCCACAGGGAAGATTCTGGTGCTTACACAACTATTCTCATTTGGCTTTTAATCTTTGATTTTCAGTGACTTTTTGGCTCTCTTTTAAAATATTTTCTTACTTTGGGAAAAACAGGAAATGTTTGTAGCTTATCAACTTCTTGGCTGAACTAGCTTTTAATTATGACTGAAGATTAGAAATGCAAGGAAATATAAAAAAAAAAAACTTACTTTGCGGTATCTTGGCTTGTGTGCGTCAGCAGACTGAAAGGAAGCATGAATATAAGATTAGATCAAGAGCGTGTGTGGCATTTTGAAAAGAATACTGATTGTAATTTATGAAGGTAAAATGTAGTTGTGTGTGGATGAGTAGAACACAGTACAATTTAAAACTTTCTGGTGTCATTGTTAAAATGAGGGAAACTTTTGATGATTTAAAGTAGAAAGTTCAAGAAATAAGGAGGATCTGTCTTCCTGAAGTCCTTCAGGAGAAGGATTTCTCTCTTCTGCCATATTCACATGAGTGCCATATTCACATAAGTTGTCCAACTGGTCTGCAGATTCCAGGTGGTGCTGGACTCCTTTTTACTATGATGGCCATGCACCCAGGTACTAAGCCTGGAGATTATTAGGCACCAATGTCTTTATGAACTGGGTATAAGGAAAACCAATCGGTGTAAGGAAAAACAGATGGTTGACAGAAATCCTGGAATAGGGGTTTTCACAGGATGGAAAATGACCCTCGTTGCATTTTAGCATTGGATAACAGAGTAAGTAGCAGACTCACAGGAGGAAGTGTTTATCAGACACTTGCTCATGAAATTATATTGGATAATGTTTGCAGCAATAGATGTTGTGCCTTTCTAGGTTGGTAAACAAATCTAAAAGTATATGGTATCAGTAAGGGTGGAATTTAATATCATATCTATATGTTCTTAATTTCTTTGATCCACGTGAAATTCTTCATATTATAAATTTATTTTATAGTGTTCCATATAGTTAGTTTTCCACTTCACACAGTTTATTTATGGAGAGCCTGCCAAGGCCTAAATTTTATTTAGCAGTGCTACTGCAGAAGTAGAATGTTAGTATCTAAATATTTGTCTTACATATGTTTGGAGTTCTAGAGATCACTAATACATGGAGAAAGAAGGAAAAATATTAAGACCGCATCCCAAGGTCAATAGACAACCATAAAGTTAAACTAAGACATTAAGCAGAAATAAAATTAAAATAAGAAGTATGTAGTATAAATCTGCATTGGCATAAGAACATACACCTTATCATTAACAACTGAATGACAGAAAAATATGTGCAATATATTTTATATTTACCAACAGGCAAGCAAAGAAGGTGACAGGCAAGAAAATTAGAATCTTCATCCTATTTTAGGATCCTCTACAACAAAGCATAGAAAGATAATTTAGTTGTTATGAAATAAAAGAAAAAATTTTGCTAAATATTAATCAAAGTAAAAACATTTCTGGTTAGGATGGCATATCCATATATGATATCCATGATATAAAAGGAACTTAAAAAATTATAAGCAAAATATTGAGTCCAAAAGAAATTAGCAAAGTTTATTTCAACAATAAAAAGTAAAGCAGATAAAAGTGTAGACAAAAGTTATGTGTTGCTTCCTTATCAAAAGGCATGCATTGTATGAACTTTTTGAGCTACTAATACTGAAGTTGTTTGTGAAAATGAAGGTTTTCTGTCCAGAAACAGTGGTTCTATTAATTGAAAAAGTTTTCAAAAGCTTGTGGCATTCTACTTGCGACAGCACACAACGCGTCCGAATTCCTTTTTCGTCTCCTTTCCCTCCCCTGCGTCCCTCCTCCCTCCATCTCTTGCTGCCTTTCCCCTTTAAGAAGAGCTATTTTCTGATTTCCTACTATCTATCTTTTATTTTGCTCTTTATATATACTTTGGCCTTCTCATATAAGAGAAGCCATGTGATATTGAAGCTTGTGTGTCTAATTTATCTCACTTAACATTTTGGTCTCAAGGTACATCCATTTTCCCTCAAATGACTCATTTCGGGAGTTAAAGACACCATATGACAGGGATCCATGCAATCCATGTTTATAGCAGTTCAATTCATAAGAGCTAATTTTTTTGGGGGGGGTACTGGGAATTGAACTCAGGACCTTACACTTGCCAGGCAGGTGCCTGTGCCCCTGAGCTACATCCGCAGCCCAAGAGCTAAATTTTGGAAGCAGCCTATATATCCATCAACAGATGAATATGTAAAGAAAATGTATTTATATACACTGGGTAGTACTCTGTCCTAAAGGGAAGACTTGAGTCACTTGTGGGACAACGGATGCACCTTGAGACCAAAATGTTAAGTGAGATAAATTAGACACACAAGCTTCAATATCACATGGCTTCTCTTATATGAGAAGGCCAAAGTACAAATAAAGAGCAAAATAAAAGATAGTAGGAAATCAGAACATAGCTCTTTCTTAAAGGGGAAAGGCATCAAGAGATGGAGGGAGGAGGGACGCAGGGGAGGGAAAGGACATGAAAAAGGAATTGGGATGTGTTGTGTGCATGAACCAACTCCACAACGGGACTGTCGACCTCATATATGCACACGTGTACTAATAAGAAAAACTAAAACAATTAGAGCATTCAAAAATATGTGAGGAAAATGAAAATGTTCACATCTTTACTGAAAAAAATCTCAATCTGAGGAGTATTTTCTCAACAGGAAAAAAATGATGGTTCTGGTGTTACTTATAAGTAAAAAATATAAATGTTGGTAATCATGTAGACTTTGTAGGAATTTAGAAATGCTGGTAAGAAAAAGTGAAAACTTTAAGTACCCATACTACATTTAAATAATCCAAATACTGTAGATGAAAGTAGAGTATAAGCAAAAATACAAATATGTGGGGCATGTTATATTATTATATGTGGGCTTTCAGGTGTAAAAATTGTATGGTGTTATCGATTTTATACTGTTTTGTGGAACTAGGAATGCTCCACCATTGAGCTATATTTCAGACTCTGTTTTTACTTTCCTGAGTCCAGGTTTTCCTAAGTTACCCAGATTTGCTTTGTTTTTTTTTTTTTTTTTTTTTTTTGGTTAGGGTCTCGTTACGCAGTGCAGGCCAGCCTGGAGCGCACTTTGTAGCCCAGGCAGGCGCTTTTGCCGCTGAGCTAAATCCCCAGCCCCTCAGATTTGCTTTGAATAGCTGGAATTTAGGTGTGAGTCACAGTGTCTAGTTTG